CATTGACAGAGAACTTCCAGAGGTTCAAGCCAGATTCAGAAGAGGCTGTGGAATGAGGGATATTATTGCTGATGTCTGATGGATCTTGGCTGCAGGCAGAGAATATCAGAAAGATGTTTACCTGTGCTTTATTGACTACAGAAAGTCTTTCGATTGTGTGGATGGACAAGCTATGGACAATACTGTGAAGTATGAGTATTCCTGAACACTTAATTGTGCTCAAGAGGAATCTGTACCTGGACCAAGACGCAGTTGTTTGAACAGAACATAGGAACACTGAATGATTTAAAATTAAGAAAGGTGTACGACAGGGTTATATTCTTTCATTATACCTATTCAACCTGTATGCTGAGGAAATAATCTGAAAAGCTGGGTTCTATGAAGAAAAATGTGGCATCAGGATTGGAGGAAGACTCATTAACAACCTGCGATATGCAGATGATACAACCTTGCTTGCTGAAAGTGAAGAGGACTTAAAACACTTACTGATGAAAATCAAAGAGCACAACCTTTGGTATGGATTGCATCTCAATGTAAAGAAAACAAAAATCCTCACTACTGGACCAATAAACAACATTCTTATCAATGGAGAAAAGATTGAAGTTGTCAAGGACTTCATTCTTCTTGGATCAACTATCAACACTCAAGGAAGCAGCAAGCAAGAAATCAAAAGACGTATTGCATTAGGCAAATCTGCTGCACAAGACTTTTGTAAAGTGTTGAAGAGCATAGATGTCAGCTTGAGGACTAAGGTGCGCCTGACCCAAGTCATGATATTTTCAATAACCTCACATAAAGCTGGACAGTGAATAAGGAAGACTGTAGAAGAATTGATGCTTTTGGGTTATTATATTGGAGGAGAATATTGAAAGTGCCTTGGGCTGCCAAAAGAACCAACAGATCTGCATTGGAAGAAGTGCAGCCAGAGTGCTCCTTGGAGGCCAGAATGGCCAAACTTTGTCTCTCATACTTGAGAGATATTGTCAGGAGGGACCAGTTGCTGGAGAAGGATACCATATTTGGTAAAGTGGAGGGTCAGAGAAAAAGAGGAAGATCCCCAGTGAGATGGATTGGCAAAATGGCAGCATCAATAGGCTCAAGTGTGACAACAATAGTGAGGTTTGCCCAGGATCAGGCAGTGTTTTGTTTTGCTTTGTATAAGGCCTCTATGAGTCGGTACTGACTTGATGGCACCTAACAACAACAGCAGCAAGAATGGTTTACTTTCTTAAAGTTTAATTTTCTACATCACTATTGCTAACAGTAGGAAAGCATTTTGAATTAAGTAGAATTCATGAAAAAGCAAGCATCAGAGTAATCATTTAATATGATAAACCTAATTTTATGAAGAATCTAAATTATACATAATTGAGTTTTTTTTTTTTATTTCTCTGACTAAGAAAATTAATTTTTATCTTGATGATTTTTTAATCTTTGCTTTAAAAGATTTGGTTCTATCCATCCTGGCCTACAGGAAATTTATGGTAAGCAGATATGTGTTTACTCCTTGTAATTTTATTTAACTGCTCAGTATTAATCCAATCAATGACTTTGCAGTCATGGATACTTTTACCTTCAGCAGTTTTGCTGAACATGTCAACTTTAGTTCAAGCAATTAATTTCCAGCATTGTCTTAAATATATACGTTATCATCAAATGTTCTTAAGGCACACTGTTGGGTAGAGAGTGTGTATAACATTGATGTTGGGAGTTCTTTGGCAAAAATATTTCTTCTTTTCTAATAACAGTCCCTGGTGTGGCATGTGGGCTAACGTGTCAGACTGCAAAGTTGTCTGAACTTCAAGGTGGTTCAAGCTTACCAGCTGCTCCTTGGAGACCCTATACAGGGTTTCTATGGGTCGGAATCAACTCGATGGCGATTAACAACAACAAAAACAGTCCCAAATGCAAGGATTAGGCAAATACTCCAATTCCATCCTTTATGACCCTGGCTGATCAACACCAGAGACCGAGATAACTGACCCAAATGGGAGAAATCATATTCGCTCATGAGAATAATGTCTAATTTACAGAAAAAAACAAATAGAATATTAAAATGTTATGTCTTCACCCTGATTCCCCATCTCTTGAGTATTTGGAAATTCCCAAGTGATAAATTAAGATTATGAGCTTCGGTAGCATAGTGGTATGAGTTGTGCTGCTAACATCAAGGTCAGCAGTTCGAAACTACCAGCCGTTCCATGGAAGAAAGATGAGAGTTTCTGCTCCCAAAAAGATTTACAGTCTTGGAAATTCTACATGGGGTCTCTATGAGATGAAACCAACTCCATGGCACACAGTTACCACTACCACCACCGAATTAAGACTGGAAATGGATTAAGTCTAGGGAAATGCCCACAGAAGTTCTGCTTTCTCTCAATCTCAAGCTTTGTTTTCTTGGATCCTCCTTTTACCTTCCTACATATTTTTGTGTTTTGTCTTAAGTAGATACGATGTCTATTCAAATGTTCCCTTCACATTTAAACTTGTGGAGACCAATGGTGCCTGCTGATGTATTCTTTATTTCATCATCACATCCCACCCAGGCAATGTGTTCCATGAACTGCTTCCAGACAGTGACTCAGTGTGGCAGTTCATTGGTGAAGGCACAGGATTTCTCTGACAGGTGATGTAGTATATTAGTTGTTGTTATTGTTGTTAAATGCTGTTGAATTGATTCTGACCCATAGTGACCCTGTATAGGGTTTCCAAGGGGCAGCTGGTGAGCTTGAACTGCCAACCTTGTAGTTCAAATGGCTTTGCAGTATGACGCATTAACTCACAGCACCACAACAGAACTTCAACATATTAGTAGGCTCCAGGAATTACAGTGTGGGCATCTCTGTTTTTGTTTTGGGGTGACATTGTGTTGATTCCAACTCCTAGTGATTCCATGTGACAGAGTAGAACTGTTTCACGGGGTTTCCTATGCTGTAATCTCTAAGTAAGAAGATTGCCATGTCTTTCTCTCAGGGATATCAACTTTTATTTGTTCCTTTTTTTTTTTTTTTTGAGGATTCCCAATTTACCTAGATTTATACTTTATACAACTCATCCTTCAAGAATAAATGCATTTTCTTCTCATTTTGAGTTGTTCCACCTCAGTCTTTAAGGTTGACTCTGTGTTCATAAAACAGTTCTGAGTCTTCAGTTGTGTTGCCTTTCAACTTGAGTGCCTCATCTTCAGACATTGTATCAGATGTTGTGCTGCTATTCCTAAGGTTTTCACTGTTCCACTTTTTTAGAAATCACTTGTCAAGTCCTTTTTTCTAGTCTGTCCTAGTCTGGAAGCTCTACCCAAACTTTTCCACCATGGGTGACATTGCTGATACTTAAAATGCTGGTGGTATAGCTTCCAGCATGATAGCATCACATAAACATTCACAGTACAACAATCACACTGATGAGTAGTGAGCATTCAATTTGCACTTTATTGTAAAATTCTCTAAATATGTACAAGAATGTCACAGTTTTCCCATCTCTTTGTTTTCTCATTCAGCACTATCTAGAATAGTTTTACTCACATATGTGGAATAGTTTTTTTCAGTAGATTCAGCTTACAGTAAACTTCTTTATAATGCTGTACTTCTTAATTTCTCAAATTAAAACTTGCCAACATTACTCTTATTTTGTGTTCTGCCTTTCTGCTCATCGGAAACCCTTATACAGGGTCATTATGAGTCAGAATCATCTGGAGAGCACTTAACAAAACAACAATGGTTTCATTCTAATCTTTTGAGTTTCTGCTGTCAATTTGATCCCATATAGATATTTCTTATGGAGCTCTGGTAGCGTAGTGGTTATGAATCAGGCTGCGAACTTTAAGGTCAGCAGTTCGAAACTACCAGCCACTCTGTGGGAGAAAGATGAGGCTTTCTGCTCCTGTAAAGATTTACAGCCTTGGAAACCCTGTACAGGGTCGCGATGGGTCGGAACTGACTCAATGGCACTTAACAACAACAACCCATATTTCTTAAAAGAGTGTAATGCTCAAGACATACATTTTTTTTCTAGTTAAATTAAACTATTATTCGACTCCAAGACTTTAGTGGATATTTTTTGGTTAAGGTTTAAAGATTATGTCAGGCAATAGTTTCAGAGGTTCATCTAAACTGTATAGCTCAAAGAAGTGTGGAGTCCATGAATGTTTTGTTTATTTATTTTTTAACTTGGGATACGTATTAATATTTATCTTTGTTGCCTTTAATTTGAGAATTTGAAATTCTATTCTTCATCTTTATCTCTTTGACTAGAATTCTTCTATGGAAAGAATAATAACTGTATTTTTTTAAAAAAGTTTTTATAGTGAATTGAGTGAAAGTTTACAGGGCAGATCATCAGTTACATTCAACAAATCATATACTTTGTACCATCAGTTAACAGTATTTATCTCTACTTTAGCTCCTTTTTTGTTTTGTTTTAACACTCAGGCATGTATAATAACTTACACCACCAAAGGGCACATTCTGCAAGTCTGCCTCCTGGCCACCAGCTCTCAGTAAAACTGTATGTTTTGAAAATGAATTTTTGTTGCCCGTTTCAAGAGTTCATTTGATTTTCATCTGCTTATTTGATGGGCCTCTGGAGTGTTTCTCGATTTTAGCCATTATAAATTATAATAAAGCTGCTATGAAGATTCATAGAAAGGCTGTTATGAGGACTTGATTTGAGGACAAATACCTAGGAGAGGAATGACTGTTTCCATTACTTTTACTGAAATTTACATGTCAGTCATCACATAATTAATAGTTAACTTAAACTGTTTATTTTTTCAGAAGCAGATTAAATATAGCCCTGTGGATTTGTTTGGTTCTGACACTGTAGATAATGGGGTTGAGCACAGGGGGAAGAAGCAGGTATACATTGGCCATCATAGAATGGACCATT